GCTGTTGTTCTGCTCCATTATGCCCCTGCCAGCCCATTCAATGGCTATGTCCCTAATAGCACTAGAGGCCAAAACCTTCTGCCTTTGCAATGCCCTTATAAGGTCTCTACACATTCAGGGCAATGTAACTTCTTCGTTTCTAACACTTGTTTCCATCTTGAACAACTACTACATCAGGTGCTCACCAAAAGTCAATGGTGAGCACTTCAAAGAAGGTTTTGAGTGGGCCGAATATGGGCTTCTATACAGGCCAGTCAATTTTTCTAACAAGCGAAAAGGTGAGAGGGCAAGATGTGAAAGTCGCAGGTCAACAGCAAGATGAAAATATGGCATCACGAACATGCAAGGTCTGTGTGCCTTTCCAGCAATCAGATTTTTTCGGTTAATTAGTGCTTGGTTCGTTAGCGGTTAGCGCACATCCCCTGTGCACGACGTAAACACAGAACTGAAAGTGAGCGCAATAAGACATATCAGTGAGACCAACTCTACACGCCAGCCGTATTAGGAGAGAACAAAAATACAAAGCAAATTCAAAGAGCCCGGGCGCCAGACCTTTTCTTTTTTAATTAATTCCTCCCCCCCCCCCCCCCCCCACTCTCTGCTCCTGGCCACAAACAGAATTCAGCGCGTGCATTTACCTGTTGTGCCTGTGTAGACCGAAGAATCTGACCAATCGGTGCGTTTCGAGAGGTTGCGTTCCAAATCTCGAAGGCGGTCAGCAATGTTTCTCTGAATGTCATTCTGAAACTCTTGCGTCCACTGCAATAAGTAGGAAGTACTGAATAACAAGGAAGCGCTTCAAAGTTGAAAAATGACATGCGTGTGGTACCAAGTAACAAAACCCCGAGAAAAAAAATATGTGTGTAGAGCCCTAGCTCACCCGGTGCATGAAATAGGCGCATGCACCTGATAGAAAAGCGAAACTGCATACACTTACCCTGCCATCAGGAAGCACCACATCCGACTTCCCGGCATGATAGTCGCTGAATTCGTTTTCAAACGCCCGATCACTCATGCCTGCGAACCTAAAGATTCTCCGGATAATATTTAGGCAAATACCACAGTCAAATACCATACTTTTCCCGCGTTCGAATCGCGCACAGATCCAGGTACGAAAACGGGCACGAGCTACGCATCCTGAGATACAGCAGAGGATAAAAAAAAACTACTACAATCATTGTTACTATTTTAGTTATCAGTCAGAACAGCCAATAAATGCGTAAACAAGCCACACAGTCAGGGACGCTTCGCCGGCGTAAGGCAAGCATTCGTCAGGTGTTGACGCTGAATGCTTATATTTCAAGTAATTATCGATCGAATGCGACACAGCACCGATACACAGTTGAAGCTTACCGCCAATATCTGCTGCAGCCACACGAACAAAGCGCTGACCGAACGTCTACGGCGAAAATTACACCAGCAACCCCATATCTTCCTGAACGAAAACCAAACCACAAGCGGCCAGACGTCAAAATAAGCGTTATTTTTGCTTGTTGCTGTTTTGGTGGTAGGTCATTTAATGATAGTGATGCGCAAGATGCCTTCAAGATGCAATCTCTGAATCTTCAAAAACACAGCTGCATTTGCCTATAATGTTGTGGACACGATTGTAGTTATGGCAAACTAACATTACAGGCATATAATATGCCTATAATAACGTTAACTTATGTCACGGCGCAAGCGCGCGTGTTTTAAATCATTCGTTTCCTACAATGGGGAACTCTATGGATCAAGGAACTGCAGCATAGGGGTCGCCTTTAGAGAGGGGGGGAATTCAAAACATGAGGCTCATTCCCCCCCCCCCCCCTTTTTCCAGCTGCATTGCCGCCTTCCTATTACTCACTGTATAGCTAGAGTGCCTAGAATATTTCTAGGCACTCTAGTATAGCGCTGACTTTGCGCCCCTCCTGCCCCCTAGTGCGCACGCTTATGAACTGCCGTACAGAACTTTTGTGTCTGTTAGTCTATATCACTGAACAATTTTCGCACGGCAAAATAAACGTCAAATTAGCTGCACATTGGCCAGCAACAAGAAGCAACTCTGCAGGGAAGTGTCATTTAATAGAGAGCAAAATAATGTCATTATTATCTGAGAATCATGAGGTGAAACACATTTGATGAAATACGCTTGAACAGTATCAAATTTTACGACCAGCTAGTTTCCACAAGCTGGCAGCCACATGGTACATATGAACCCCATTTTCTGAGACTGCAATAAATGTTGCTGCATTAAAACAAGTGATGTTACGATGTTACTGCCAATTGATTAATACTCGTTTTGCACAGGCAGGATGTGTAATAATTAAAATAATCAGGTTCTTATCTGCATGTGATGAGATAATTGTGTACAGCAGTCAAGTTCTTTCATCAGTGTAAAAGACAAACCTTCAAGTTCAGAAGTTTCGATGCATGCACATGTCATCATGCACAACACACTTTGCAAGACATTTCATGAATATTTCATCTTTATTGAGCCTCATGAAGCAACACCAAGTGATTCATCTATGAAAAAAAAAACATATTGGCACAGTCAAAGCATCTAAATTCAGCACAATTATTTTCAAAAAATATAAGAGTAAAAACTTGACCCAGATATCTATGTTGGGTCTGTGCTACATCTTGCAAATTTACTCCAAAGAACTTATTAGCAAAAGAGTGGACTTTTTCCAGCAGCGCAATGTTGATTTGAGACTAAAGTGATGAATAATTTCCAGATAGATACATAATTGACACTTCCTCCTCTCCACTCAGGCAAATTGTGTTGGAAAATGTTTGGTAATGTATCCGTGCCGATATGGTAAGTGATACTCAGGAGCATGCCACACTAAAATCCTTGACATTAGCTCTTCAACATTGGTGCTAATATAGTGGTTAGCCTGCCTGGCAGCCACATATACTCTTATAGCTCACAGCTTGCTTTGGTGCATATTCTATTTACTTCTCAGCACCTCTAGAAATATTTCCATGAGATTTCCCTAATTTCCCTAATATTCCCTAATTTTTCTGCCAAAGCTTTGCCTTCTGCAATGGCCTGCAACGTTTAATACACTGAAACGTTTAGGCGCGAGTCTTGCCTAAGAATAAGCATTTCAAAGTTGCCAGATAGGTTAAATTTCATGTTTCCGATTGCACTTCTTTCAATGCTAGGCTGTGTGCTCCCTTATAACAATTCCCTCTCAAAGGTAATTCAGGTACCTTCAGAGTGTATTCACATTCCGTCAAAACATACATAAAAAGCATATGTGAACCTAGGAAAAAACTTTACAACCAGCACAATGTTGCCACAATCACATTTATTACTCTGCACAATGTTTGGTACCACTATTGTAAGTATACTTTGCAAGTACTTGAGCTTGATCGGTTTTCCAGTCGGCTGTTGATTCTTTGGTGTGCAGGTACATGCATGTCCTCAAAAAGCCGTGCAACAGTCTTGCATTTCACTCGTGAAGTGCTTTCGCAATTGCTTACACGTATAGGACCAGATGACAAGAAACTGAATTCTGTTTTTCCATGCTCACTTTCAAAAAAAACTTAAGAGCTTCATGTAGACATGCAATATATTCTGTGCCTCACAGTGTTAAAAAATTGTTGTCACTGTACCGATAATACACAAAATAATACTTTAACACAAGAAAGTCCATACGGACTTTTATATATTGTCTCAATACGACTGAGCAGTGTACACAAATATGTTGGCAATGTTATCACGTGTATTAAAATGTAGTAATTATGTGATACTAGATGTACAACTTTCTTGTATGTACACTCACCAGGTTTGGTAATTTTCTGCCAATAAGCGCCATGCATACATGGGGCATTCACAATCACATCTGCAAAAATTTGCAATGCTACGTGCCGCAAAAATGGGTCAAATTTCAAGATGAACGCTGCTTTCCCTTCCTTTTACAGGCGCGTGCCCAGAGAATCAGGGCATGACGTAGGCGTAGTTATTGCTCTATGTGGACGGTAGTGCTGCGACTTCGGCCCTCTACGTAGACGACTGTCCTCTGGCATGGCTAACAGTAGCACGTGACGGAGCGAATTTTATTTCACACGACATGTGTATTTCGTGTAACTTCTTCCTTGAATAAAACTTGAGATGAATATTGATAGACACAAAGGAAATGTGTGCATCTTTTTAATTTCTATCCCCATGAATTGCAATAAGATGCAGGGCGAGTGTGCCTGCGTTTCTCATGCATTTGTGTCCCCACAGTAAGTGCATCGAGCCGACGCCAGCCCTGGAAAGGAAATTAATAGTCCTGCGCGTTCGGGCACTAAATATGCTCATCTATTCTACCACATCTAAGCCAGCGTTGTTAAACGAGCGCGCACCGAGGCATCCATTCCGGAGAAACAGGCAGTAGACTACGAAATAACTTTTGTTACCAAAAGAACGCTGCTTGTGTACTCGGGGGTTGGGCTTGCTCGGAGACGTCGTGCGCGTGACCGTTTCCTCGGATGCCGGAGAGGATAGGGAAGAGATTTGGCTAGCGAAGGTTACGCCGGAGAGGCGGCAAGGGTTTCGAGCTCGCCTCCTTACATCATTCTTTGGCGCCGCTTCAAAATACCAACTTCCCCAGCTCGTAATGAACTTTAATTTTTTTGAAATTTCTTTTGTGCCATAATGTTCTGGACATGCAACTATTGCCATGGCCAAACTAAAATTTGTTATGGCTGGTGAGTGGCTTTTTAAGAGAAATAGAGAACGCAAAAAATGCCAAAATAACGCACACATGCCCCGAGGCTCCACATTACACACGCTTCTTTGCAAAGCTGTGTGTTCAGTTTCTTCAGGGTACAGACAGTTTGGCGAAAAGTTCCACGATGTCATATTGAGCAATTATACTACAAAAAGCTATTTAAAAGTCGTGCACATTATCTCTGCATTCCCTGAAACAAGGTATTAAATAAAGCTATTATTTGAATTGGTGTCACCATATGCAACATTACAGAGCTATAACAGTCAAAGAAAGTCGTGAAGTCAACTGAAGCCGAAGTCCAAGTTTTATGTGTCCATTTTATTTGTCAAATACTGAATGCTGCCGATCGCTGCACAACATGAGCCCACACATGCGCCACACAAAAACACTGACTTAAACTTCATCTCCAAAGAGACACGAAAGCACTGGTTCTTTTGTCGTTGATATTTTTTGGCACGGAACAAAAATTTCACAGCAAAGTTATCAAGCACTCTCATGCAATCCAGTCCAGATATACGTGTGAAAGCTTTACTCATAAGAAATATGTATACATACGCACATATTCTTGCGCAGTGCCCTCCAAAAGGCCTCAATCAATGAGTTGTAAAAAATCATTATAGCGTCCCGGAATCGAGCAATACCAATTGCAACATCTGCACCTACTGCACTGAACACAACAGTGGTGGCACTCCGCTAAACATGGGATGTGCCTTTCACACGCTTTTGCTTCTGAAGTGTCCACGCACAAGGGTGCGAGCTAGTTAAAAATGGTGCAATACACAAAAACAAGTACGGCAATAACAAATCGCACACAAAATTTTTAAACATATTACTGGCTCAAGTGTGTTATGGGCCACTTCTCTGACCTGGTTTAAAAAAAAAAAGATTTTGTGGCTGTTTACTAATGAGAGGATCCACATTATTTGCGTACACATTGAGCGAGAGAAATCTATTGATGCTCAAGGCACAAAAGGCAAACGCAGATCTCTGCGATCGCAACCGCGTGGCCCATCGTGTGGTGCACTTTGCACCCAATCCCACGTTTTTCTTGCCCGCAGATTCTGGCCACAAATCTTGCACAGAAGGAATGGAGCAGTACACTGCCATGAAAGGTACAGCTAACACAGAAATGGCGTGGCCAAAACAAAGAAACGAATTATCAACAGGAACTATGCTGTCACTTATCAGCAGGTATTAGTGACTGTACTAAACAAACGCCGCTGCTTTTTTCCAGTTCAGCCTCTAGAACTGAAGTGAGGTCACGAGAGGAAGAAAACTGGAGACAGCCGTGCCATTGTGGCACAAGTGCTGACAACATGGCCGAGGCTTTGCGACAGGCATGTTATGTGCAGTCAACAATAAAGCAACAGCTGGAACGCTAAGTTAAAAATAAAACAAAGAAGAAAGAACAATAACGATAATAGTAGAACGCTGGTGGGCGAGTGGATATGGCTAAAGAATCGTACACTTCTTCTTGATGGGGCGTGGCTTCTTGCGTGGCCCGTTGCTGACGGCCTTCTCAGTCTTCTTTCTGTTACGAATTTCCCGCATCAGGTCAAAGAAAACCTGCGCAGAGAAGGAAAAGCGCAGGTCTTGAAATATCAATGAACATCACTTACATCAGCCTTCATATTTGTTTTGTAAAAAAAGAAGTGATAGCTTGTCAAGTGGCAACTTTCTTTCCAGGGACAAATAGCGACGAGGAAGCTGCAATGGCGACCACTGAATGTTGAATGGCGACCACTGAATGCCCTTTGGTAGCATAATATTTCAGTGGACAATTTTGAAGCCCCGTCTCACACAGGTAACATTTAAAAAGATATTCCGTTTCTCAAAGTAGACGCATACCTTTGCATGGGAAATACCTTTGCATGGGAAAGTCAATGGGAAAATATTTGCAACACGATGGGGACATTGGCTACGTGGTACATATACTTGCAAGAGAAATAGCGCACAAAGACTTAAGGCGAAGAATTGGTGACGGATTTATTATGATGTAATCATTCCAGGTATTTATTATACCAAAACCAGGACATGATTAAGAGAGACACCGTAGTGGAGGGCTCCAGAATTTCTGACCACCTAGGGTTCTTTAATGTGAATTAAGTTGAAGCGCCAGCTATGTAAAACACTTTTGTGGGTGCAAATCCAGAGAGCACGTAAAGATCTGCAGAACCTTTTGTCCCCACTTATTTTTTTTTTTTTTTTATTGATTGATTGTGTACTTTCAAATATCCTCTTCCAAGAAGAAGACATGTTCGAGCCTTCCAATGCTCAGCATGCACTTCCGATGAGCTGATCCCCTCCCAGAAAAATCCTGTGGCCACCCCTACTTGCAAATGGCACTGCCAAACTCTCAATACGCCCGTCTTCTTCGGCTCATCGTGTCTGTTTTCACCCCTGAAACACTAAAACTTCAACGTGCTGAGTGCCATCAGGCACCTTTGTATACTTAATCAGTCTTGAATCATGCTAGTTTGACACCTTCGAGACACCAGCAATCTCGGAGCCATTATTTTTACTACTTCATGAAAGCTATAATACTTTATGGGGGATTACTAATATCAGCACTGACTGCGATGCAGAAACTAAGCGCAATGACTAAAATTTAAAATGTACTGATTTCTACTCGCATTTCAAGGAAAAATCTGCTCATATATTCATTTGTTACGGCAATACTGGTTTGCTGTTTGAAAGAAATTTATGTTTTCAAATAGACGTGACTAAGTATTAAAACTGCACAGGATGTCCTTCATGCCAAAGTAAGGTTGTAAGATAGTGCCGAAATGTTGCCTTTTAAATTCAATTTCGGTAACTTATCTTTAGGCATGCACAGAGCTTACAGGGTGAGTGAGTGTGTTTATCATGAGAAAAGTGTTGGCTGCAGCTGGTAAGTGTGACACGTGATGGCCTGCCTGGCGACCTGCCAGTCCCAGAAGAGAGGGCGCAGCATTTTCTCATGCCAAGAACTATACAAACGAGCTAGTACTTCAGCACAGTTGCCACAGTGGGCCACCACTCCTCTCGATCCCATGTGCATTGCAACTGCTTTTGTTCACAAAGAATTCAGCAGCAAAATGTATAATAAAATTGTAGTTTAGCAACACATCAAATGTTACCAATTAATAATTGTTTTTCAGGATTGCATTTCCAAGTATGCCTGTTTTTTGCAATCTGCATGCTACGAATTTCAAAAGAAAGGGGCAAGGAAGATGCCACTTGAAAAGTAATGTTAATTGTGCTGTACTAGTTAGGCAGACTAACAAAGCTATGGCACAATATTTCGCAGTTATATTGACTATGGGTTCATTGCCTTGTGTCTCAAAAAGGCAGGAAATGCTTGAGGGAAAGAACCAGCCCAAACACGGGATTCACCTTGTCGACGTTGGTGCGGTTTTTGGCGGAGGTTTCGACATAAGGGACGCCCCACTGGCGTGCCCGCTCCTGGGCCTCCTCAACGGACACCTTGCGGCTGTCCTCCATGTCCGCTTTGTTCCCCACAAGGATGAACGGTATGTTCTCGTCTCCTTTCACCCGCAGGATCTGCTCCCTGCACGTAGCAGCACACTCACAGTCTTCTTCATTTCAATTAGGCATATCTGAATTGGATATGAGTGTTAAAGAAATAATACCCTTACATATAGAATTTTATACCAAAAGTTGTACGGTTTCACTGTGCTACCACGACAAAGAATATTGGAAGCTTTGATTCATAGCAGCACGAATAAAAACAGTTAGCAGGGCTGGGACAGCTTTGGGGTCAGGTGCAGACCTTCGAAAATATTTTTTTTGTAGAATAAATTTTTCCTGACTCCTAGCAACAGCTGCCTGTTGAATAGCTGGCATAACTTTCTGGCAATTATTACTGCTCATCACAGTCAGATTGTGAAGCTGACACCTTAATTTAATATTTGACTAGCAAAGGCTCCTTTGATTACAGAACTTAAATATTACTATAGCATAACCACGAGGGGCACGGACTCTGTCAAACTCGCCAGCCAAGTGCATTTTCAACACAACACACACACATTGGTGCACGCAAATGTCTGTCAAAGATCACATTGTTGCCAAAACAGGCATTTTCAAATTGATTCTGAAAGTTGAGTGGCTGGACGAACTACTAGAAAATGGTGGGGGCATGAGAAACAAATTCAGCATGCCGAAATCGACGATCCAAATCATCTATCATCAATGATCGATTTAAATAGGTGTGGTAACGAAAGAGTTAAGGTTCTTGTACATGTATTACTATTGTTTACCAGTACACCAAAGACCAGCATGCCCAACAGCAATAGTTAATCCACCTTTTGAAATTTACATCAACTACAGGTGGGGGGGGGCCTTCAAAGGTGCCCTGCAAACACTTCTTAAACATGGTCAGAAAATTCTGCCAATTTGTCGCCGAGGCTGCTAAGAACATGTCAGCCAAACAGCATAGTGCAGCACGTGACGTGGAATTTAAAAATAAACTTGAGGAAGAAAACAAAATCGCTCACCCTTCTCTCAACAAATTTATTTAGTTTTATTTATTTAACAATACTGTAGGCCTTCGAGCAGGCTCATACAGGAGGTGAGTAAAAAAGTACACATGTGCATGGGAATAGTAGAAATGAATGAACGAAAAATTTAAATAAAGCAGAATGAAACATATACCTTGGCAATAACCATTCCAGCAAGCAACATAACATAAGCAACAAATGATGCCATATATCCGAGATCGATTGCAACGCACACCGATAAGAGGAAACAGCCATTGGCCGATCTCAACATCGTAGCTTGCATAGTTACTGTGGCGTGCCACATTCTATTGACCAATGCCTTCATGGGCACACTGAAAGCGAGCTACACGTTAATAGAAAACAAGAAAATAAAGGGCTGAAGGCCATTACTGGTGCATACGCATGGAGCTTCTTGCCTCCTAGTCATTTCCCCTTCCTGTGTACGTTTCAGTGAGCTGGCTAGGATGAAAGAAGAGATAAGTGCACAAAGCACGCGAGAAGTCTCACTAAATCCACTCGCACTTATTGATTCTACAAATTTTTGCGGCTGCCAGTTCCTGACCCAACAAACTTCATTAGTAAGGCCATTTCATGATCACATAGAAAAGTGTTGCCTGTTTAAAGTGCCAGTAACGTCTGGTAATGTTTGTCAATCGGCCGAGTACCTGAACTCTGTCGTGGCAGCAAAGTTCTCGGGCTCCTCAATGCTGAAGACGCACAGGAAGCCCTCGCCCGACCGGAAGTAATTATCCCGGATGGCGGCATAGTCCTCCTGACCGGCAGTGTCTAGAATGTCGATTTGAACCTCTTCCCCATCGAGAATGACTTTCTTGCGGTACGAGTCAGCCTTGGTAGGCTCATAGTCCTCTACAAACTGAAACAAGCGACACACACACGCATTCAGTCAGGCTTTCAACCAGTGCTCACATTATACACAACATATTCTGGCTTGAAAAAATGCTCAACAAACAGAGCTAAAAACTCACTTGCACTTCTACGGTTCTGTAAAAGCAGCATTATCCTGCAAATGCTTTTCAAACACGTGCAGAAATCAACAACATACAAGTACTAAAAGCAAAATTTTCTGCTATCTTCTTTTTAACTTTTCCTCGTTAACACTGGTATTAAATGCTTTTCCCGTCCACACCTTGGGCCATATTTTAAGATGATCATTTCTGGAAATATTGCTTGAAATGCATACTAGTTAGCTGGTTAAAGAAAGGCAGGCAAGAAGTCACTTCAATCCCTGGTCATGCAGGACAATACGCAAAGCGATAATGTTGCTAAAAATGATCATCTAGAAATACAGCTCCTAATCTCTCTGCAAGCCTTACAGGGTCGTAAGTACTCACAGATTGAAATGTAAAAATATATGACTAAGTCATGCACAACTTTCATTTCCAGCATCTACAGTTTGTGTCGCATCGGCACAAATTTTCACACAATCAGTTACATCAGAGCCAGCATTACCTTTTGTGTTCAGATCTTCAGTGACCTGACCTGATGATGACTGTCATATGCTCATGGCAGTCATTATACTAAAAAAAGGCAGTCACATCCCAATCAGTGAGCACTGTACATGCCGACCTTGGCTCATCAGATGTGACAGCACTTCATTTTCATTTACACAAATAGAAATCCTTGACAAACCCCTATGAAATTTTTGACGAACAGCACACTAACATTCCAGACACCATGCCTCAACATACTGTCACCAAGCACAGTCAAGAAAGAGCTTTTTTTCAATATGTCAGCTTTCCAGATTGCATCAAGCGATTCAATGTAGCAATGATAGTAATTGTTTCCTCCAAATGCCTAAAGGTGCTCAGTCACCTGCCCTGAATACCAAGAGGTGACCGAGCAAGAATATGTGAAAACTAGTGTGGTGCACTGGAAGGGACACTTGTCCAATTTGTGCAGTGTCTAGCAAAGGTGACACACTTAATGCTTTACAAAAAGCAATGCAGTACAAAAGCATCCTACCTCGTCGTACATAAACTGCAGCGTAAGTGCCGACTTGCCAACACCTCCACTGCCCACCATAATGACCTTGTGCAGCGCAGGCTGGGCATTCTTTGTTTTGGACATGGCACCGCCCTTTCAGAAGCTGATCCTGCATGTTCAAGCATAAGTAAACGGGAGGCACCTTACAGGGAAGACTTAATCACTCGCTGAATCGTCAGACCACAGGTACATGAAGAAAATAAAATTGACTAAATGATTCTGCTACTGACAGCGACACACAATGAGCCATTCATTCAGTACCTATAGGTAGAGGGATTTCTCATTTACACAAGTACAAGCTCATGCATACGCACACATGTTCACGCATGCACACACACTACTACCAAACGACATGAGACTTACTTTACCGTGTAAAACACGAAAAAGTTTTACAGGCTATGCATATATGAAATGCCTCAAACAAGTACAACCCCTTGGCTTGCAAAGTTTTGTAAACTCGCAACCCTATTAAAGATTTAAAAGACACTACCCTTTTTCTTACAAGTTTTAATACATATATGTTAATGTTCTTTGCCCGGGAAGAACTATTTGAAATACTGAGCAACTTTTCAGGTGCAACTCAAGCAAGTCATGTAGCAACAGATGCAAGTCATGTAGAGTTTCATAAAACACACCCTGTCCATCTTAATTACACGGCTGTTATAACAAAGCTGGACTGGTAACTGTGCACTCGGTAATAGAGAGTGGCAGCATTTAGGCCACCGTAACAATCACCTTACTTATTTGCTTGTGACAAATTTACTCAAAACTGATGCACCGTCTGTGAGCAAGTAATTTCAACATCTATCATTGTATTTAATTAATGTTGACAGAGCTCTTAGACACAGAAAACCCAAAAAGATCTATTCACAGAAACATTTTCCTGACATATGCAAACCAGTTTAAAGCTGCATTACTTAGCACCCAAGTTAGCTGCCACAGAGACTCACACATCCCATTGTTAGAACGGCACTTCTGCCACATGTGGTCTCACCCTTATTGTACTAACCACTTACGTCCCATTTCATTTTGTCATGTTCCTGTGACTGCATTTAAGATATCTGCTATGAACTTGGTTGCTTCCCTGTCACCCTACAACTATTTCTGCTCTAGTCCCATGTTATTGAAATATGACATTCATAGGCTAATTAACGTGGATATGAGCAGTGTATGGTAATAGTAAAGAGCTAGCTTTCATATTGATTCTATGGAACATTGTTCTTTGTCAAACTATAGCATTTCCTAGCAACAAAAGATGGTTTTCTGCCTAAAATGAGCCCGGCAAGCTCTGCACCATTCTGTTGTGGAGGGAACAGGATCTCCCTCAAATGTCGAGATTCTATTGACTTGTTTTGTTCAGAGCAGTATCAAACAAGCAGAGAGAAAGAGACAGAGACCTGCTTACTTCAATGAACAGACCTCGGTCTTTTTGATACTGGAGAGCCAGCATCTACCAAATAATATCCACTTGGACTTACATAATATTACTGACCTTCGCAAACCAAGTGCACAAAACTCCATTGATAGAAATTATATTTCTGGAGTAATGTTTGCAATTCTGAAGCTTCCTATTCTGTAACGTATGAATTCAATGGGCTGATCTGCACAGCAAAATCATAATGTACTTGTAGCAGCTTCACACACAATATTTTTAACAAAAATTTAAGCTCACTATATCTACATGTGCCTCATCTATGGCAGTTCACACAAAGAATCGTGATTAGTTTACAATCAGCTCACTCGTGTATATAGAATGTGAGGGACTGCTTCACCCTGACGCATTACAGAACTACATATTCATTGCAACATTCTAATACAACTAAATTGTTGCAGTTCATTCAGCCTGATTGGCATTTGAGTGCTCAGTGCAGGTTCAATTTGACATGAAACACACAAGACTAATGTTTCATTATGAGGTATCTGCATCAGAGATTGTATAGAAAAATGCTTAAGTTTTCTGGTAACCGAGATGGTCCCCACGGACACCGATGTTCCTGCCGTTCTGCCCAAGACCTTGAGAGTTTCACTGCAGCCAAAAAATTAGCACGACAGCCACTACCACCTTCCAGACATCTGGATGGGGATAGGAGCTGAAATAAGGTGCAAACCATACATATTAATGTTCGGTGACATTGATTTCGAGGGCTTGTTTTTAGCATGCGAATTTTAATTTAGCTCCTAGTTTTCCAGGTTTTTAAAATTTACTTTTAGGAAGGACTAACATGCATACATGTAAACTTCACCAATTAAAAAAAAAAACAGCGAGCCATCCAGCAATCAGGCATAGTCTTCATGATTCTATCGAAGGAGATCTAGAACAATAGCCCACAGTTGTTGCTACAGGCAAACATATGAAAAAGCAGGGTCGGCAATCTGTACAGTTATGTGGAATAAATACGAGATAGCCATGAACGACCGCTTCGAGTGCATTGTCCGAGACGACTGAGCAGTATCAAGAATGCACAGCATCGCGGCTAGACTGGACCACGCAAACAAAAGCAGTGTCGCTGCTAACTCGAAAGACGGCAATCAACACAGCGTGCATCTGGCAAAGGTGTAGCGACGTTATCCTGCAGCCTGACACACCTCATTGACACGAAAAGAAAAAGAAATGTAGCTATGTCAAACAGCGCACAGCTCGGTCGACACGGCACACGCCGTCAGGTACAAATGACAGATATGCGGTCTCTCGCGATTATTCGATAAAAGTACGCTGCTCACGCTTACCGTGAGAGCCGCGTGCACGCGCAGTTACTGAAGCGCAGAAATGGGCACACACGCAAGAAACTCGGGTGGCGAAAGAATACGCTCACTACGCTGACCTGGCAAAGGCATCTGCGCCAAAGGCGGCCAGTCCAGGAAGAAATGAGGCTGTGCGACCGCAGACTTTGATAAGCGGACGCGGCAAAAGAATCCGCAAACCGAGTGACAACTGAGCAGCCGCGAACGATCGCAAAGGCAAATCCAGGGTAGCCGGTCGCGCGGTAACTTGGATCATCCAAATGGGCAGTTTACGCAACCGCTACACCGGAAACGGACTTGCCGTGCCACAGGGTACAGGAGATGTGCAAGCATCACCGTTGCAAACTGGCAGTGACGATCTCGTGACATAAACCAGTGCTGGGAGGTCGATGCGCGCTTGAAGTTGAAGCTCAGGCACGGGTGACTGCTAACGCCAGGGCGTTGCAGCAGTTGCACCAGAAACTACGCCCAGCAACCACCCTGGGCGACCGTTTCAGTTTCGTTGCGATCGTTGCACCGCGGTCGCCGACCACACGTTTCTAACCATTGTGAATCCTGGTTTCGAAGAAGAAGGAGTAACCAGAATAATTTTTTTTTCCTTATGAGATCCCCGCGCACGACGGATCCGATACGCCTCCGAGAGAAAGAAATCATGTACAAAAACTTCGAAACAAAACGTACCTTCAAACTCCTCAGCGGCGTTAGAAATCACAGGTGCGTTGGTGACGGCAGTAAGCGCATAGTCGGTCAAGGGCTTCTTTGGAGGAGTGTTAAACTGCCGGCATATTCAGCGTGTCAAACGACATACCTTTGACACAGCACGCCATTAACCGCGAACGTTACGGGCACTATGAATCATGGGAGATTGCAGGCGTTGCGATTGTCCACAGCAGAGAGCGCGACGGTCGGTAGAAAGTTGTGGCGCTGTCGTCGCAGTCAATGTTGCAAGTAGTTGCAAGCAAGGAGTTCTAGCCATCAAAACAGGGGTGTAATCAGGCGCGCTGCTAATTATGCTGCTGTGGTGGTTAGTTCCATATTTAGGATTAAAATAAAGAAGCGCTATAAACAGGAAGAAAAATTCTACGGAAACAGCCCTGACTTGCAACTACGCTTTCCCTCATATTATCCACATGCTGTGGTTGTCTAAAAATTTCAGCCTTACGTGCAACTGCTAATGAAATAAAAATCGCTGTTTGCATTCTGGTGAATATGTTTGCATAGTATGAAGATTTTACATATTGAACTTCGTTGTATGCGCCTGAGCACCTCTACGTATCACCGCTCACCACATCCACTGTCTAAAGAAAATATTTCATCGAGGTGTCCTGACACGTGCACTATGCGGGGATGCAGGCTCATTGCTGAGTAATTTCAACATATTATGCCAAGCACGTTGTTAATGTATTCCAACAATCAAATCATGGGTTGCAAACCACGTGGAATGCGCGCTATCGATATGGCGTGGTGACTTCCAAGACGGACTCTTTCAGAAATTTTCTCCAGTTCTATCTCAAACTTTATAGTTCAATCATTACAAAGACAGTTTCGATGTATTCATTGGGAAAGTGTGAAACTAAGCATAATTCGTTGTGAAAAAAGAAAATCGTCAACGGGCCCGACAAGACAGAAAGGGAAGGGCAGCGTTTGACCTTGTTTCCTTCCTTTTCTAGCCCATTGTTCGTTGCCACAAATGTTTTCTGGGTGAGGAAGGAAACACTTGCTGGCGCGCACCAGGGGTTGCGTGATGGGAGAGGGCACCGCCGCGCTGGTCCACGTCACCCGAGCATCGAGGCACTCTACGTCACCCCTTGGCACGACTCTGTCATCGGGGCCCTCCTTGTTCGCGCGAACTCTCGCTAGTGTTCTAACGATTTGTCTCGGTGTTCGCTACGAATAAATATTTACGCTTAAAAACGGAATGTATCGGAAGGGATAAAGGTTGGCCACAGAGACTTCTGCTACCGTCGCGCAGTGTTAGCATTAAAAATTAAGGAACAAATTTCTGGGTGCGCTTAGAGTCCAAGTCTGGTGCGGGCTGTGAAGTTCCCACTCAGGCACATCGCTGCTGCGCGCATGCCGGCCTTCGTCACCTTGCGCTGCTGCTTCATCTGGCATGACGCTCCCGTCCTGGCAGGACGTCAAGTGTTAACGGTGTTTGCACAGCAGGCTGCTGCTTGCTGATTCAGGTGTTCAAATGGCGTTTGATACGATGCCTTCGCGCCCACAGCCCTTAAGAAGCAATTGTAGATGTCTTCATCTTTTTTTTTTCGTGCATTTTGCATCAGGAGAAAGTATCCTGAAAAAAATTTACAGTCATTGGACACAGAAATAAATATATCGGTATGCCCTTTCCGTAGTCGGGCCAGTTACACGTCCCTCCTCGGCGCCGCAGTCCGATTAGACGTCATGATCTCCCCTCGCCTATAGGAAACTATGCCCCTCGCCTTGGCGTACTAATTTGGCTTCCGCCTGGATTCAATGGTGGTGGTGATGTGGTGTTGGCACAGGCGGGGTTACAATTTTTGTGGTCTGGTAGACCTGACCGGTAATTGCACGACTTGAACGACTCTTTGGACTTGAGACCACGTTCAAGACCTCTCGATATGAGTCACTCGGTCACAGAACATCTTTGGTAAGTGCGGAGCACTTCAGTGGGCCGGGCCGTTGTACGCTGTCGTGTGTGTGCTGCAGTATGCTGTCATCGTCGCTTGGCGTCACGCTCCGTGTGTAACACATCGAGCGTGCGCTCGCGCCAAGAAGTCTTTTTTTTGTTGTTGTTGTTTCCTTGTTCTTCGAGCATCTTGATGATAAGGGAGCGCCCGCTCACACACACAAAGAAAAGCGAAGTCTTGTTCCTCTTCTTCTTCGAGCGTCTTTATGGTAATTACTTATGCGCACCAGCAAAAAAAAAAAAGAAACTACTGTGTTTGGCGTAACGCAGGCACAAAACCACGTACGAATATAAAAAGAGAGGAAGTAGCGTGAAATAGAGAGAGAAAGGGAAAAGATAAGAAGAAAAGAAAGGATGGAAAAAGAAAACTGAAGATAAACAGGCTACCCTGCACGGTTGAGGTCTTCATATCCCTACTGCGAAGCTGCTTAATTTTTTAAAACAAAATGTATTACATTAAACAACTTTATTAGGGACGCGTGGGAAAGCGCGAGATCATTTGCATGCTCAGCGAACACTGACGCGTTGGTCTTTCTTACTTTTTGAGGTGTCCCCACACGATAGACGATATCGTCCACACCTATAAAATGTCATCTTCCTTTCGTAAGAGGCCCCATATATACTATCTCTCTCAGGCCGCTTTGCGTGCGGTTTTGGAAGACCTTCCTTCTACATATATAGAGTAACGTTATTTAGCATGATAAAGTCAGGGATCTCAAACACGTATGCGGGCTGGCCCGCACGTAATAGCCTTTATATCATTTTAAAATATGTTTATAATAATAAATATGTCTGAGCTAATATATGAGATTCGGCCTTCAGATTTCAAGCATTGTGAGGTCAGTATCGGTATGCTTCTCGAAACCCGACTTCAAATTCTTTTCATGTCAGCGATCAACCCTATTTTTTTTTTTTAGATAAGATAAACGCCTTCTGTCAAGTAACAACCCTAGCTGGCATCTTGCTTCACCATACCGGCCCACCTGGAGACTGAATTTCGGGGCTGCAGAATAATTTTTAAAAAATATTATGGAGGGAGATGTGTTGATGCCCTCGATCTAGGGGTTTCGCGTTCGCTCGGCTTGGGTGGCGGTTGCTTCTGCGGCGGCCATTTGTGGCGCCCTGGCTGATTCTCAGCGTTGCGAGTCAATCGACTATCGAATTATTCTTTGAGATCTATAGTGGCTGAATTTCGCCATCATTGGTTCGTGATTGAAAGACATAATTAAAAGGTTGAAGTGTTTCATTATAGGCACCTTCCTTCCCAACACACTCTTCAGGAGCTAAGCCTGCTTGTTGTCTTCTCGAAACACCTGTGGCCATAAAACAACGTACAAGATGGTAATGGGGTACTCGCTCATTCAATCAGTTGTTAGATTTTAGGCGAGTTTAGATTGAAAGATGCCTACTTTAGGAACACCTATATACAAGCACATCATATATTTATGTGTGTCCTGTTAATGTTTGATGTGTTTCTATTAGGAACAGCAATACATATATCCCCACCGGCGTTGTATAGTATACCAAATGATGCACGAGCGCGCCGCCGCTACACACCGGTCTACCAGGTATTTTATGTTGAATTCCAATGGCAGATCCAGTTCAAGTTTTTCGGCTCTGAGTGGAGCAACCACATTCCAATGGCGGATTGGAAACGTGAATTGTGTGTTCCAGTGGCTAATTGAGAGCAACCGCAGATCACGGATTGCTCCGTGGAGCAACAATTCTTGCTCCGCCAAAATCGGCGGATTCGACCGGAAGTTCAAGTGACGTATTCTGTGCGCCCGCCTTTCATCCAATCACCGATGCATGACCAGAAAACGCTTTGCACTCCCTCGCACCCTCTCGTGCTCCCTCGCTGGATTTCCGCTCACCTTCAGCTCCCGTCGAGACGCGCGCGTTCCAATCGCAGATTTGACGAGAGCAGTCCCACTCGGATCTGCACGCTCCATTCGCAATCCGGCCCAGCACTCGCGATCTGCCATTGGAATTTAGCATTACTATATGCTATGTTGTGTGTATGGATGGACGGATGGATGTATGTGGCTGTACACTAAAGATCGGGCGGCGGCTAACGCCACCTAGCCGTAATACTTAGTGAACTAACCACTAGATTTATCTCTTTTTTTTTCATTTAAATAGTAAAGTTGGACGGGTACTTTTCAGTGAAGGGTTTAATTTTCCCTCGTGCCTTGACTTTTGCCACAAATCAGATAACCTCCTTCTAGTTAAGTCTACCCGCTTAAAGACTATTTTGCCCTCCCTGTCCCTAAACCCCAGTGCTTTGAAAAACTCTGCGCAATCGTCCTGAACTATAGGGGGAAGCCCTTTACAGAACATTATCAAGTGTTCGGCAGTTTCTTCTTCCTCTCCACACGCACTGCATTCTGTGTCTACCTCTTCGTATTTGGCCCGACTCCCGTCCTGGCCTCAAACAGTAGAGAACTACCCCGAGTATTATCATAGATCCTTTCTTCGGCAATTTCCTGCTTAAAAGTTCGCTGAGTGCCACGTGCGCCCTCTATGCTGATGTCATCAGGTTGCCTGACTGGTCGACTATCTTTACGGTATTGAAGTTAAAAGAAAGTTTACGCCATTCACTCTGAAAAAAAGGGGGGGGGTATTTGGGAGTAGTTCTGCCTAACCACAATAATCGTCGTCTGACCTGCTTCGCGTTTCCTTGAAAAAAGCGGCGCTCGCCACTTTCCTATCAAGAATACCATGTCACACTGATAACACGTGCACCGTTAATTCCTGACCGCGAACTGCCGGAACCGTGGCGATGACGCGAGGAAATTACGCGAAGTATAGATGTCGATTATTGTTGCGTGGCAGAAATACTCCACAAGTACTCGATTTTTAGAGTGTTGGCAGCACACTGCTATGGGTGTTTTGATCGGCGAAAACACTATTATGGTTAAGAATTTTAGTTATTGACCCGACAAACACGCCTTAAAGTGTAAACTGCGTTAAAGTGTGAAGGCGCTCGAGAGTGAAACCCATCCCTAAGTTCAAAGGCTTCGCTACAACTGGTTTAACCCTCATTATGCGTCTTGGATTGCAGATATTTCGTACTTTGACCACATTGCATGGTTCCAAATTATTTTACAAAAAACTTGAGGAACTTCCGTGTCAGTTATGCTTGAACTGTATACAGAGCGCTCTTGGGGTATATTCGGTATAGCACACCATC